ACTGTTTTTAAAAAGACAAGTATTCGATAGTACTCTGTCTATTTGAACTAGGGTGTTACCAAAGTTTTAAAGCTAATGTGAATCGTTGTTGAAATGTACTATAGCGATGCTAATTATATAAAAAGGATTATCTCACTCGGCATCCTGATTTGGCAGTACTGTTTCAGTGACACATATGTCAAACAGAATTGCCAGCCGCGTTATCAAATGCTTAGATTAAGGATTGTCATTTTACGTGAGCAAAATATCAATAAATAAAATTTCCACATCTGGGACAGTAAGAATCTACAAGTAACTGCCGAAAGACAATTGCATCTACAAACAGTTACTGTATGAAGATGTGACATGAATCGCTACAATCTAATAAGTACAGATTCTAAATTTGATATAGATATGGAAGACTTCTGGTACTAAAAGAGCGATGCGCGAAATATATTCCGGAAGCACAATTTTAAAATTCAGTACTATGAAAGAGTTACCAAATTTAAACAATATGTCACCACTGAATTTATTTTATGGAGTTACGCAAAAGATAGTTTTAATGCTAATAATTCTATCAGTAAGATATCCTATTAAGAATATTTGAAGGATGTTGTACTTTATGACTAAGAGCAAAGACCAAACAATTTATCGAAATAAAAATTTGATGAAACACTTAATTATAAATGTGTTTTATATATATCTATTTGTGGAACCACAATGTGTTTAACCCTGTATCGATTATGTGATTATTAATGATCTATATAATCTATGATATTTCATCACAAGAATATTTTTTGTAGGGCTACGCAAAGGATCATATTTATACGAATAATCCTCAAATTCTTGATGCTTGGGTAACGCATAACCACCATGTTATGAGGAAGGTACAATCAACTCTAAAATATCCAGTACTGTAACATGTTTCGTAAAGAGTATTTGAATGATATGGTATGTATTTCGAGGAATATATCGGAATAAAAATTTGATGGATCTTTCATTTACAAGTATGTTTTATATATGTTTACTTTTGGAACCACAAAATGGTTAACCCTATATTTACTGAAAACTTTGTTATTTATAAAAAATTCGAAGAAAATACACATCTCATACATGGTTTTAAAATCCTATTTCCTAACAGCATATAATAAAAAATAATTTATATATAGAAAATTTAACGGAATTATATATAAAAAAAACATTTCCTGTTTAAATGAGATAAAATTTGATCTATTGTTTTGGTAAATCTTTTATTATTTTAACCTTGACACTCTAAAAATGTGTTCGATTTTGCATTTATACCAAAATATTTCTATAATAGCCAAAACTATCTAAACATCTATAATATATATGAGTACGAGTATATTCTTCTATGTGGTATGTGGTATGAAGTTTAGCCCATATTCATCTGCAAAAAGC